GGGGGGGGGGGGGGGGGAGCATGATACCAGACTAGTTTTCTTATTTTTTGTACAAATTGAGTTAGAATTAAAATAATTTAAAGTAAATGATGTCCCTGTTCTTGTATCGGTTCCCCTTCACATTGCTGTTACTGTTCCTTTGCCGTTTCCGGTTCCGGTTCCGGTTCCTGTTCCCATTCCCGAAGACCCCTAAATCTCGAAAACGAAGCACTCAAAACTCGAAAACGAAGACCCCTAAATCTCGAAAACGAAGCACCCAAAACTCGAAACCACTGTAGGTTTAATAAGTGCAACTTTACGTCTTACATGACAATCGATCCGAATCAGGTGGAGGCAGCGGATGCGTCCGCACCTCCAAAGGTCCACAAAATCCATCCCAATGTTTATAACCAACTGTGTCACTGAACGTTTCTAGATAGGATATCCTGTATTAATTTTATTATTAGTCTCGCTATACTTGATACATCCTACCTATATGCATTTTTTCGGTACACATACATGTTTATGTAGACTTCAAAACTGTCCGTCAGCAGATTTTGGCGTATTCAAGTACGCGTGAGCAGTAACACAAAAGGTCTGAAAAGAGGCTGAAAACGGAGTGTGAGGCTCGCGCGTATTACTCTTACGCCACGCTTTACCGACTTCTTTACTGATTTTAAGAAAAAAAAACCGATTGTTTTGCAGTCTAACATATTGGGTATCTATGACACTGCGTGATCAGATCAGATCAGATCCAGGCAGAATTTGTTCTAGGATAACAGCGTGGGACCAGGCTCTATGGTGGGGAACAGGAGAATTCGTTATCGTGCTTGATTCTTGCTGTATTAGCATTGGTTTCGTGTTTAGAAAGGACAGACCGGTTTCGAGTTTTTGGGTGCTTCGTTTTCGATCTAGGGTGCTTCGTTTTCGAGATTTAGGGATCTTCGTTTTCGAGGTTTGGGTGCTTCGTTTTCGAGTTTTGGGTGCTTCGCTTTCGAGTTTTGGGTGCTTCGTTTTCGAGATTTGGGGTCTTCGTTTTCGAGATAGGGTGCTTCGTTTTCGAGATTTGGGTGCTTCGTGCTTTGGTCTTCGTTTTCGAGTGCTTCGTTTTCGAAACTACCGCGGTATTGCGGTATTCTCGCGCTACCACGTGCGGTATTGCGGTATTCGTATCCCCCTTACGCCCCCCTCGTGCTTGTTCGTCACATGAGTCAGGAGGACAAGTTCGGCAAAAACATTTCAAAGCTGCAAGTGACAATGCTAGCAAAGTGAGTGATGATTTCCTGGTCGAAATACAATTAAGAATACATTGTATTTTTATTGTCCAAAGTTAATGTTTTCAAGCGAAAAAAAAAAGACAAAGCTTAGATAACAGTATGACAGTAATTTGCCAGTCACTCTGTCTCATAACAACACAAAGAATTTCTTAGGGGAGGGTCACTAAAAAAAAAGACAAAGCTTAGATAACAGTATGACAGTAATTTGCCAGTCACTCTGTCTCATAACAACACAAAGAATTTCTTAGGGGAGGGTCACTAAAATTTTGAGACCCACCCAAAATGCTTGGGACCCCAATTTGACCAGACATGTGGGAACGAGGACCCAGATTGAAAAATCCTAGTGCCATCCCTGGCAACAAATGGCCTAGAAAAAAGCCATTTCAAAGGACTTTTGGGATCAATAGTATGAACTACTTTTGACACTCAGGTGAAACCGCTCAAAGAGGCTGTTATGTAAAACAAAACTTAAGAAACGTTCCTTTTGAAAAAAAATAAATGCAAAATAACCAATTATGTTACATCCACTCATAAACAATTTCAGCAACCCCTTTGGGAAGATTTTCTTCATTGTTAATTACTTCTGCCCTAATTTGTCCATTCCTGATCATTCTCGCAACAGCATTGGCAGTGATGTCAGTGAGTGTAGATGGAAGAGCATATGTCACTTCTATGATAGCGTCTGCTAACCAGTAGACACATTCAGCATCTTCACGGAGCTTCATGGTAATAGAATTGTTCCTGGGGCGTAACCGTGTCCTATCCACTTCCAAAGTTATCTCACGAGTTTGGAAATTGGGCCCAGCACTCTCATGTTGCTCAATCCAAAGAGTATCATTCAAGAAAAAATCCATCATCCCACTCCAGCAACCTTCCGTGACGGTCATGTGGAGACGTGTTGGTTTCTTAACATCCTCTGGCAGATCAAAAGTGATCTGCACCTGGCTTTGGCCACTAGAATTGAACAGTTTCTAAGGTCTCCCTCGGCGGTAGATGTCAGTTGTCATGACATGAGTGAATTCAACATTGTCATAATCATTATTGAATTCAAAAGTGTGAATGATTTGTCTCCTACTTATTTTGAAATCACCAACTTGGTCTTCCATTTTCTCCTTCAACAAAACACATCCAAGACCAATCTAAAGACATAAATATAGGTTATTGAGCAAGCGTGAGGTCAAGATATTGCAAGTTTATGGACCTTGACTCCGTCTCAGTCCATAAACACGCAATCTCGTTCCCTAGGCCTTTCCCTGGCTTGGGGGTGCCCAAGCCAACCCCCAAGCCAGGAAAAAGGCGCTGGGAACGAGGTAGCATGTTTTAATGGACCGAGAAGGAGTTGAGGTCCACAAACTCGCAAAAACAGAACAAGGTCAATATCTGGCCATCTTGACCGTACAAGCTTGGTCACTATATACAAAGGATTTATTATATGCCTATCGGGGAAAATTTCCTTGCAGAACGCAGTGGGTAGGCCCGATTGACTGGTTAAGACAGTGCCATCTTGTGTAGCCTACATAATAGGCATTTCCAAAAAAAAAAAAAAAGGAATGAAACTGCAAGCAAGTGCGAAAAATAAGGATCTGTTTCTCCCCACCCCCTCCCCACTTCTCCCCATATTTTTCTCATCCCAGGCGCGTTCCCTCACTCGCCCGCTTGCTCGCTCACTTGTTCGATCTATCCGCCTGGAAAAGGAAAGGAAATGGCTGCTATGCAAGCCTTGCATCTTGTCCACTTGGATAGCCAATCACAGCACAGGATTTGATTTATCTTGCCCGTTCATGGAGCTAGCCATATAATAAGATTACTCATTGTACCACTTTCTAATTTTTTACTTGTGAATAGACCATATTCGTATTCTTGGTAGTGGACTGGAACTAGCGTGCAATGGATACTCATGCGGGGGAATAACATTAAAGAGAGATTTTTGACATTTGCATTTGAAAAGACTCCCCGCGTTAGCCTCAATTGCAAGCTAGTTCCAGTCCAATACCGTGAGTACGAATATGGCCTATTGCGATAGCAAGTTACGAGTTGTAGAGAGCGGTCAGATTATTTCAGTTGTGCCAAATTTGACAAAGGTATCCCAAGCTTACTGGGTGAGAGTCATTGTATAACTGATTATGAAACAACTTAAAGGAGGGGGATGTAAGCGTTCACGGTAATGCGGTTTTGCCTTATTTTTCGTACGGTTTTGCGGACATTTTTATTTTACATTCAGTGTTTTGGTTTTATAAGACTAAGCGCTTTGCAGTTTTCATAATTTATTCCTTATTGGCTCGAGTTGCGACCCCAAAAAATGGGTGTTCCGAGCTCATGTTCAGGATGTTTGAGCTTGAAAACTAGCATCTTGACGAATTTTCACAAAAAAAAATAAATAAATAAAATCACTGAAAGTATGTTTTGTACAACATTTGAGATGTTTGCTGTGTTGAAGGTTTTTTCATTGGCTAAATAAGTGAGGTTGTATTTCTAATGGAATGGCAACCTGAAGTATTGTCCACGGCATCAGTAGCAAATTTGTAACTTTGGTTTCGGTATTTTGGTAAATTTCTAGTATGCGGTACTCATTATGGATTTTTACGTTTTTCTACGTGGTTTTCGGACCCCCCTTACCCCACCCCCCCCCCTTTAGAGATATCTACCTCTTACTAACACAGCTGGTGGCCTGCACTAACTTACAGTAACATTTTAAGTCATATCAAATGGCTTTAAATGATTGACCTACTTCGCCTCCTTGAAAATCAAAACAAGTCAATTCGCCTGAAATAGAACAAAGTCCTTAGCACGTCCTAATACATGTCCTCAAATTTTAACAAACAAAAACCGTTTTACACGTTTAGTTGTGTAACAACTGCGAGTCTTTCTCTAGATAAATGCCATTTAATAAACACTTTGCCGACTACATCTGACAACGTGGCACTGTAAAGCGATGCTTATGCGCAGGTGCAAAACTGACTATACTGGAATTGTCGGAATGCTGGACTGGATATTACAAGTTGTCATGAATGTTTAAGAGAACTTGGTGTTTAAGAGAACTTGGCAATCATCAAGCACATTGTCGACAAAAACAGCTTCAAATTTCAGCAGGCCGTACAGTAGAATGAGGTCAAGGGAAAGTCTGCATACAAGCTGTGGTCCTCAGGTCAGAGCTAATCTCCGGTTCATTAGCATGTGGTGACTAGTAAAAGAGCCCCCAAAATTCACGCATACTCTTGCCATATTTGCAGAGCATGGTATAATGGCTCATAATTTTGAATTCTATGTTTTGGGGGCATTTTTAATAAAACAATTATTCCACTTGTGCTTGTTGGATATGAGATGATTACAGCCAACTTGGCGCAAAGCCCCTCGTTAGCTATCTATCATCACATACTACAACACGCGCTCGTGGAATAATGTCGTAGAAAATACAGTGGCAATCTCACACCTCAAGTCTTCGTTCCAATTACTGCATATGCTAGCTTGACGAAACGAGCGTTCGTTCCCGACCACTGGTTAAGGGGAACGAAGACGCTGGGTACGAGGGTGATACCGTGGCTGACACAATTAATGCAATATACGCACAGCGCATGACTGGAAGGTTGGTTGTAATACCCTCCCATACACAATGACCTTCCGGTATTCTGATTGGCTGAATTTTCTACGCATGTATAAATATATACAGTTGGACCTAGTCTTCTTCGCAGCCGTTATCAGAGTCACGCAACATTTCTCCCCACTAATAACGCACGGCTGCGAAAGAGACTAATTTGGACCCCCCCTCCCACCCCCCTAATTCAAACACAGTTATTTTGAATCCGTTGTTTTGAACTTGAATCAGTTCAAGGAAGATGAACGTTTCAGAACAAAAATTTAAAGGAAAGTATGGAGATAAACTGGAGTTAATCCCGAAGGGTAGACATAAATTGTGTGTTGTTTTGACCTAACGGAAGTTTGAAATGAATAAGTATGGAATCTAATTTCAATACTGATGTCTGATACCTCATATTTCAGTTTCTTGTGAGCTGCCTTGTCAGTCTTCAAATTCAATTCAAGTCCTAGAAATCTCGCTATAAAATAGGACAGGAGGGGGAATTTTTCTAAAGTCAAATCATGTGAGATTTAACAAGTTTTGACTTCGTTGCCATGTAATACAAAACTACCTCCTGTTCTATAACAATGAGGTGATTGTATTATTCGATGCAGTTTTAAGTTACGGTAAAAAGCCGAAGTGTAAATTATTCCTTAGAATACGCTATGATATCCGACAAAAGCCGAGTCTCAGCTGGTTGTGTTGAAAGTCCTCCAGGTTTAATAGCAATTAATAAATGGCCAGTTTGGATACGAACAATACAAGGGTGCATTAAAGCGTCAAACTGAGGGCTGGTTTCGACCCATAAGGTTGAAGGGTGATTTGCTGTGATGAAAAATATGTCAGAATGTAATGATCTAGATAAACATCTAGGGCATTATATACTCCGTAGCGATCGTGATGATCAAGTGGAAACGGGAAGTCATAGGCACGCAACTCATTCTTTAGCAATTGGATCGCAACGATATATATGGAAACCAACCTTGCGTACAGCTTTGATTCAGTATCAGTACAACAACTAAGTATTAAAAATAGTGGCAAAATAACCCTGAATGTCTACAATCGGCGACAAAATGAGTTGAGACACTTCGCCCAAAAGTGGGCTTTTTTACGTTTTATGAACTTCAAAAGGAGGAAATATAGCTTTCCTCCCCCATCCCCTCCGTGCAATGTTGTGCCCTTGTTCTTTGTGCCCTTGTTCTAGCTACCTATAGAAAACAACAAACACCCCAACTTTGAATGGAGGGGACAGGGGAGGGGTGCGGATTCTTTTGTTCTCCGAAGTCACCCTATTTAAGTACAATGTCTCAACAATTTTTGTCGCCGATTGTAGATACAAATACTTACAAAACGCAGTCACTGTAACTTGTCGCGAAGTCGCGTTTTCTCTTTCACATTGACAGTCCGAGCTGTACCCCAGTACCCCAGCCATTTAGCAGCGCTCATTCAACTTACCTTGTCATGTAAGGAGAATTAATATATCCTCCTTGGTAGCCAGGCCTTTATCTCCGCTTGGGAATCACAAGTTCCATTGAACTCGCGTGAGACAGCGTTCTTCCACTGAAATGGACATGTTTTCTATCCAGATAGCCCTGTACTTTCTTTCTTTAGCCTTTAGTCATCGATTCTTGGCACGAGCTGATGATGTGGTTGGTTGTGGTGGTTTTGTGCAGTCTGAAGTTGAAATCAACTACTCCCTCGTGCAGGTAAAATATCGCATAAAAACGAACCTCTCAAAAACGAAGTCCTTGGGTATAAGGGACGATTTTTTTTTACCCCAGTAAGAGTAAATTTACGAAACTATTTGAAAAAGAACCTCGATATAACGAAACCGAAGCAACCACAGAATACAGGGCCATATTTTAAGGAGTAAAATTTTAAACAGAAGTGGCTCGGGGGCTTGCCAGTCTTGCATGACAAGCGTTTGAAGAACGAGAAAGTTATAAGACTTATAAGCTTAACTATAAGACAGACATAAAAAAAGACGTAAAAATGCAAAATTTAAAGAACAAGTAAAGGTATGTATTTTTGTGGCTCGGTGGCTCGAAGGCTTGTTAGTCGAGTTTAGCATCTTAAAGAACCAGAAAGGTATATATTTTAGTGGCTTGGCCGCTTGGTGGCTCTTCAGTCGGGTTATATAGTTTAGTGGCTAGACAGCTTAGTGGCTTGTCAGTCAGGACTACCGAGCCGAGCTGCCAAGCTACCCCAACGGATATATAGCAAACAAATGTTGCCAATGCCAATTTTGTCTTTATTAAATTTAAACTAATTTGTCTTGTCTTATTGTATGTGATGGATTCCGATTGCTTTTCATCACTTGATCTTAATTTGGCATTTTATTAAACACCGTGTAAGAAAACATCTATGGTCCATTTGATATATAATTTTTCCACCGTTTACAACATTAGCATTCAAAGACCCCCCTTTGAAGATTTACAATGTAGGAAATTCTGGGATTGGGGGACTTCAGAGATTTTTATATAGGGGGCAGCCAAGTTGGTACCTTTGTTCTCTTTAAGACATCTCCTTTTTTCTGAAGGGGGACACTTTGATTTTTGATAATTTCTGGGAGAGGGGTGCAGATTTTAAATAGAGGGGCCCAATTACATTTGAAGCATAAATCTTGTTAATAATACATGTAGAAAGGCCAGAGTTATATACACTGTACAGTGAAACCTCGTTATAGTGAATATATACGAGTTGTAGTTAATTTTTCCCCTCAGGTAATTTTTGTTCTTCTTTTGTTTTTGGGCATGGTAATGTATATATATATGTTAATGTAGTTGAAACAAAAGAAAAAGAAAAATTACCTGAAAAAAAAATAACTACAACATATATTTCCAGTCCTTTGGCTCTTCGTTACATTGAAGTTCACTGTAAACATTTTGGTCACTGTGATAAAGTATGACAAGAATTCAGGCTTGAACTGGATATGGCACTACTATCTGTGACTGGCACAGCTGTTTAACTTACTAAGCTATCCAGCTCAACTGGTAGCTGGTTTGATCCTGCAGATTTGTAATAATATACCTGTGAAGGATGACTGTACTGAAAAGAAAATGACTTAAAAAGTGCATTGTGAACTTTATGCACTACAGCAGGCCTTGAATAAAGTCTTATCCCAGAAAAAAAGTTTCTTGTCAGGCAAGTAACTTTTAGAGCTCACTTGCCTAGTGGACTAGGGTTAAACAAGTCATCTTCTAACTAAATCATTATTATAAACGTAAGACTAGTAATAACCAAAGGTTATTGTTCCAATGCTGTGCTTTCCGTAAGTTTCAGGTGACCAAAGATCAAAACATGCGTGATCAGAGTAGGAGGGGTAGAAGTGAAGAAATTGCCTTTTGTGCATTCCATTCATACTTAGTGGAAGTCCAAACAAATGCTGGCTACATACATGTACATGCGGCACATGCGTAATAACAACCATCGGATTAGAATTTTGGGCTCCTCTTGTTGCCTACAATGAGAAAAAAGTGGCCACAGATAAGGAAAATGTGAGAGTTGCTTGCCCAAAGGACAAGCTGTCATTCAAAATGTTTTTTTAGGAGGCCTGTTCAGATTTTTTTGCACTGCAGAATAAAGATTTAAAGAAAGACCATCAGGCACATTAGTGGTCTGTTTAGTACATGTATTAAATCTTTTAAAATATTCTGTCTTTATTTTTTCAAGCAATTTTGAGGGGAGAGGGGGGGGCTTAACAGAGAGGGGGGCTTATTGGCGAAACAAGTTCAGGGAATATCCTTTGTCCAACTCTACTATTGCGAGTTCGAATCTGTTGCTTGTGGTCATCACGTTAACTTTATAAAAAAGTCTGGAAGCCAGTAGTCCATGAAAAACTCACGTGCAAGCGTGATACAATAGAAGAAGCGAAGCCGTTTGATGAATTTTCAGTTGGCATTAACTGTCTGTTTGCCAGCAGCTCTCAAGATCAAGAGCTAGTTGGACATTTGCCTATAAAATTATCACTCCTGCTGTGTATTAAAATTTTTATCTTGTGAAGGTTGCAGCTTAGAATTTTCACCAACGAGAGCAAGGTTTCTCAAGGACGGACTTCTGGTTCTCGGGTGTTATACTGCTTTTTCTAACAATAAGAAAATGGTAACAATTCTCCACAGAGAACTAGATCATAAATTTTAAAAAGTTAAGCACATGAAGCTGGAGGTCATGCAGCCAAAGACCGAAAACAATATGAACTTTCAACCTGAATAAACCATAACTGATCAGTTTACATTAATTGTTTGGAGAATAAGGATGGAGGGGAGGGGGGGTTAACAGAGTGAGGGGCTTCCAAACTTTCCTCCTCTGAAAAGGAGGGTGGGCTTATTTGAGACAGGGGCTAAATAGAGGATTTACGATACATGAAAATGGTAATTGGCAATAATACAAGTTATTAATTCTACATAGGCTAAAAAAAAAACTGAGTCTTTCTGAAGCTGTAAGTTATCTTTTTCAAACTATATTTAATATTGGACAGCATCATTCACCTTAAAATTAATTTTGTTGTATAAACAGATGAAGCTGCTTACCAAGCAAGGTATAATCAAGTCTCAGACCGAATGTGCCCCAAATAATGGATACTTCCTTATTCCACTTTATGATAAGGTACTGATGTGTGATGTATGTCAAAATTTTGTTACTTTAGTTTGTTTACTGGGTATACAGTTAATGGTCTCTTATAACATAAGCCAATACAAAACTACGTAGTATGAATTTGGGGAGCAAGGGTGGCGCAGTGGTGAGAGCACTCGCCTCCCACCAATGTGGCCCAGGTTCAAATCCCGGCGTCGACACCATATGTGGGTTGAGTTTGTTGTTGGTTCTCTCCTTTGCTCCGAGAGGTTTTTCTTCGGGTACTCCGGTTTTCCCCTCTCCTCAAAAACCAACATTTCCAAATTCCAATTCGACCAGTAATCAGGTAGACGAAGAACCACTATGTGGATGTACTACCTGCAAATTGTTATTTATTTATTTGTTTTTTATTTATTTAAAGTTCTAATTTACATTGTTTTATTATCATTGTTTTAGGGGACATTTGTTCTAAAGATTGAACCCCCAGTTGGATGGAGTTTTGGTAGGAAAAGATAAATAAAGATTTCATGATTGTATAATTCTGATATGATACTTTAGAACAAAGTGGTTTTGAAACTGTTTTTTTAGCAATTGAGGTTGCTGAGTATCTCTCTACCCCTCCCCTAAGTCTCAATTTTTCCATAAGTGAGAAGTAAGTGTTCATGTTGACTTAGAGGAGGGGTAGGTGGTCAGTTATCCAGAAACCTCATTTGATGCTTTTTTTGTTAATGATTTGATTTTTTTTCTGTGCAGATCCAAGCAGTGTTGAGTTGAACATTGATGGTAGCACAGACAAGTGCAGCAAAGGAGAAGACATCAACTTTATTTTTACTGGGTTCACGCTGTCTGGAAAGGTAAGTTTTGTCCCTTTCAAAAAAGGTAGCTCTTTTTTTCCCATCATTATGTAATAAACTAAAACTATTACTTGCAACCATGAATTATATTCTTAAGTTGATTTTCTCAATTTTTTTTTGAACCAGGTAATCAGTAAAGGAAGAGAAATTGGCCCAGCAGGAGTAGAAATTTCTCTTCATGTAACTTCAGGTTTGATAAAAGAAATTTTGTAATTGAATTTGATTAATGTAGATTTCATACAATAGCCTCATTTTGGTCTACAGGTCTACACTTTAACAGTGTACATTGTAGCATGTGGCAGTTTTCACCTTACAAACCTAAAAGTTAAAGGCCAGCTTGAACTTTCTTGTCCTTTTTAGGTGACAAGGAAAGAAAAACTGTTACAACTGATGGAGGATTGTAAGTAAAGAAATAATAAACAGTAGTAAAACTGTTTTTGAGGCAAGTGATTATTCAAACCCGAGGTACAGACAATGTTTTCATCAGATACGTATCTAGGCACACAAAAAGCAGCCTGCAGGCAGAACCTGATCCTTTTGACTACACCTTGACTGAGGATGAGAAACGGAGGCTCTGCCTGAATTGCATCAAGCTTTTGAAGTGGTCAGACTTATGGACTAGTTGATCTTGTTTTTTCTTGTCAAACTGGGTTTTTGAGTGAAAGCATACATAACAAAATTCAATGATCATAACTGAGCTTTCTGCACCAAGCATATGGCTATTAGGCTTGGGAGTAGCATGGCTAAGCAGTTAGGTGCATTTAGCATGTTGGACTTGCCAATTGGAGGCTCCAAGTCCCACCTTAACTGCTGGCTGGATTTTTGTCTCTCTGAGCCTGAGTTTAAAGTCTTGGTCTTACTTATACTGGTACATTTGTAAATAGCTTACTAGTTGCCCCCTGCCAGATACAGTATAGGATAGATGTTATATATTTACATTATAATTTAAAATGAAGAATAATTAATTTATGTGTTTATGAATAATATTAATCATTCTATGTAATTTCAATCAGTGAATTTCCTGGCCCTACTAGGCTTTTCATACTGCCAGGGCAAATGAAGTTTCATTGTAATAATAACATATTGAAGAGTCCAAGCACTAATTACACCTGTCCAATGATTCGCAATAAACTCTTAGTTCTGCTGTTGTTTTTCTTGACAGTTTCAGTTTTGCCCGTGTCATGCCTGGAAAATACCAAGTGAAAGCCTCTCATGCCTCTTGGAGTTTTGAAAATGTGAGTTTATTTTTATATATTGGCAAAGGAGTAAAATCATGGTATCAATATTTAAACAAGATATTATTACATGTATATTAACATTGTAGGATGATCTAAACCTCTGTGATCACTTGGATCATACATGTAGCACATCTAAAGAACCAGTGAATCCACCCTAGGAAAGGATTCATCGGTTCATTTGATGTACCATTATCTGGGTGATCTTGGTTCACTGCTACCAATATAATATTATTATCAATAATGGTAACCCATTAAGAATAATGGTGTGATTATTATCCTTGTATTACATGTACCATGTTCAGCTCACAATTGCTTGTATTTTCATAGGCTGAAACAGAAGTTGTAGTGAAGTCTGGCAATGTCAATGTTGTTGACAAGATGATAGTCTCAGGGTATGATGTCAAGGTTGGTCAGAACTCAATCTGTTGATCCGTCACTTTCATTTATTGTACTCCCTTTTCGCAATCTGCCTACCCCACTCATCTGTTTCCACTTAGATCACACAGTATAATATAATTATTATTATTCTACACAGATTGCTTTTTCTGCATACTGAATTGTGTATTATCTGCAAAGTTTTTCGAGACAAATTGACAAAGAAATGTGCCTACTGTATAATTAATTTTTTGGGCATCACCAAAATTGTATTTTTACATTTAACTCAGGGCCATGTTTTAAGTGATGGTGAACCTATCCAAGATGTGGGCTTCCTGTTGTTTTCCAAAACCGTCACTCAGAAGGTATGTTAACGTCAGTGAAAGCAAAGGACTGCCACATGTACATGTTAAATAATATAGATCTGCATCTTATGAATGAGGAAGGTTTTGTCTGTCTCATTCTTACCTTTGGTGGGGAAGCACTTCTCAGCTTTGGCAGACAACACCCTCCTTGATCTGCATTATTTCTTCATAGCACACTCAGCCTTGTCCAATAATGTATTTAATTAAAGACAGGGGACAAATAGATTATTTTAGTAATAAAAAAAGAAGAATTTATTTAGTAGTTAAAGGCTGGGGTGTATTCCTATCAGAAATATTGTGCTATTGATTGTTAATAAGTACAACCTGTACTAAATACACACTACTTGAAAGTTTAATAAATTCGTGGTTGTATAACATTACTTATGAACATTGTTAACTGCTGTAGTGTCCATTTAAGCACATATGTGTATTTTGTGTGTTTGTATTAATTTGCTGTGGTTCAATTTTATCCTTGGTTCAAATTTCAGTCTCATCATAATTTATTTCCTTACCTAAACACAAAGGAAAATAACATTGAAACCAAGAATTTTTTGAGCCACAACATAATAGTACTTTAGACTCCTTGTTTCACTTCTTGTCAACTTGAAGAACTTGCCAGGTTGTGAAGAAATTCCCAGTGATGTAATAGAAAACATCAAGAAGAAAACAGACATTGATACACCCTTGTGTCGCGTCAAGTCAGGAGTGGATGGATTGTTTGTATTTCCAAGCGTACCAAGTGGCGAGTACACATTGGTGAGTATTTGACCTTTCTTTCAGGAAATTAACATGTCACACCCACAAAGAAACAAAAGCGGTTGAGACAGAAATGAACAAAATGCGAAATGAACCTTGATCAGGGCTACAACCTTATCCCAATTTATGGAACAATTTTCCAGCCTCATTATTTTCTCTGTAATGTAACCCAACTGCCGAATCTTCACTCTGTCAAACAGAGACAAAGTTAAACGTATAATCTGAAATGGAAACTTCATTTGAGGTGCCTTCCCTAACATGTGAAGGACATCAAGCTAAAACTCTGGCCACTCTGAGGCTTCTTTACAGTTTCCCTGTTACTGGCCGATCTCCACCCTTAATACTCCTCTTTCTTAGGTGTCAAGAATGTCAGAATGTACCCAAATGGAAATAAAGGTCGCATGAATCAACGTTCCACTTATAAATTTATGGTGCGGAAATTAATTTTCGAGAAATTAACGCAACTTACATTTAGATGAATTTTTGAAATTCATGTTAATTTCATGTAGCGGTAATTTCCTATTATATTTTAAGTACTTTATTTCCCTTTTGTTTGTTCCAGGTTCCATATTATCAAGGGGAGCTTATTACATTTGATGTGGTTCCTTCCAAACTGACATTTTCGGTCAATTACAAAAGTGTTGTACTCAAGGCAAGTAAGAGATAATATAATTCACCATGAATCATTACTGCAGAGTGAGCTGATCGGCAGTGTGTATCTCTGCTGTTAAAAAGCGTATTTTGTACTTGTGCAATCATGTAATGTTAGAGCCAAATTTTCCAGAACTATAGTTTAGTTCAGCAAGTATAATGTGTCTTATGTATAAGAATTTTAAGAAATAGTTAAGTAAATATAATTAATCTTTACCATCCTGCTCATCAACACTTACACTGTATCAACTCATGGTCAGGGTTTGAGATGGGCGTGGTGTCTTACATGTATGTGTCATACTTCCTGATCAGCCACCTGACTAGTGAGCTCTTTGCGGGTCATCCAGAATTTTAAGTAAAGGAAAGTTCAATACAAAAAAAAAATAGTAATCAACAAAAGTGCCGTCTGGTGATATTAGTTTAGTCTCCAAACGTTTCCGGCCTGGCCCTTCATAAGTGGAGTTTAGAGTAATTTTATCTGCCATGTGTTGGGTTCACCTATAATAATAATATACTATTATCTAAGTTGCTGACAGGCAGTTCACGGTGCTGTTGATAATGCCTCCTGTCTACCTGCTGCATACTTCTAAGATGTTCCTTCACCTTACATGCACATGTAATTTTCTGGTGATAGTGTAGGTAAAGAAGGGTGTTTGGCTTATACAGCATAGCCATTTCTTTTTACGTGTGTAAGTTTGTTGTCACAGGACAATTAATTTGTTTTTCATAGACTCCTTTTCAAGTCCATGGATTTTCAGTCACTGGCCATATTCTTACACCTGAGGTAAAATAATATGTAGTTAAAGTTACAGTAGTGGACAAAGTTGTCCTTGACAATTAAAACTGATGACGTCACAAGCGGTATCCGCACGGGCGGTTACGGGCGCGCGGCTTAGGGGCGAATGGGTTAATTTATATTTGCTGTTGTTTTTAGGTACGTATGGCAGTGTCTAATAATTAAATGATAAATAAATAAATAAATAAATAACGATTTGGAGGTAGCACATCTACAAAGTGGTTCTTCGTCTACTGATTTCTCGTCGAACTGGAATTTGCAAATGTTGGTTTTTGAGGAAAGGGGAAAACCGGAGTACCCAAAGAAAAACCTCTCGGAGCAAAGGAGACAACCAACAACAAACTCAACCCACATATGGCCTCGACGCCGGGATTTGAACCCGGGCTACATTGTTGGGAGGCGGGCGCTCTCACCACTGCGCCATCCCTAGCTCCCCAATGAAGCAATGGCAAATAGACTTTGAGCCAAGGATAAAATTGAGCCAAATCATCTATATGTTACATTTTAGGGCCAAGGTATTGGAGATGTCAGCATTTCTGCTGGGGAGGGATTGACTGCGACAACAACTGCAGAAGGTATTTATGTACTAAACAACGTCACAGCTGGAGGATACACAATTCAGGTAAGAATATTCTCAAAAAAGGGTTTCCATGGCGTGAAGAGGCTAATTAAAATCTCTGTAAAGTGTTAAGTTCTAAATCGAAATCTGGGTTACTTACCATTTACAGTGTACATAGGATAACCGAAAATCCTTGGTGGAAAATCAAATGGCTCGCACCCTTCCGTTTGGAAAGTTTCAGAAAACATGGGCTTCGTTTTGATACAATGCGGTTTTTTACTCTTTAGTCCGTTTAGCAGATTTGGGTATAATTTGTAGCGGGTCGTTTTCCTACCTCGTCAAATTTTATAGTTTTATTTTCACCCGGATGGTTTGTGTAAATGGTAAGCATGTACCCCTCCCATACAGCCGCTGGTTTCTGAAAACACGCGACCTGCGTTGTCTAAAACTTGTTAGGATTTTGGGTTTTTCTGCCACGTCAATCAAAAATACAACAATCCATCTCAAAGATTTCGCAAAAGCCTCTCGTCATGCCGGAGAAATTCGACAAAGGTTAGGGTAGAAATCAAAATTGCTGCTTGCTTTCAAAACCTGAAAGCATTTGAGAAGTAAGGATTAGATGAAATGGTAAAGGTTGGCATGGCATGAGGAGGCTAAAGCTCTGTTAACCCTTTAAACCTTAATATCAAAATTTGAATTCTCATTTCTTGCCCCTATTCTTTTCCTACAGAAGTAGTGGGAAGACGTTGATAAAATTTCAAGAAAATTCATCTTGTGTGATCATGTCCGTAATTCTTATGACCACTCTGTTTTACAAAGCATTGATATTACAAGGAGAAATTTGATGCTGATCACTCATAGGTTATTAAGGGTTAAGTGCTGAGGTCTAAATAGCAATCTTATTTCTACTGTGCCTTTGTTATAATCCCAATACAGCTGTCGGTTTCGGAGAACATGCGACCTGCCTTGTCTAAAACGTTTTAGGATTTCGGGTTTTTCTTCCACGTCAATCAAGAATACATTCCACCATCTCGTCAAAGATTTCGCAAAAGCCTTCGTCATGCCGGAGAAATTCAATGATGGTTAGGGTAGAAATCAAAATTGCTGCCATGGTAAACAAGGTTTTGATTGACGTCGCAGGAATTTTCGCAGGAAAACCAAAATTCTAAACGCTTTTTGACTTTGCAGGTCGCTTGTTATCTAAAAAAGCTGTAAGCAATATTATATTTCTATATTTTTATTTTGTTTTAGGCAAATAAAGAGAACTACTTCTTCAATCCAATAAAAGTCCAAGTTACTCCTAATACTCCCAGACTGCCAGTCATCTCACCTTTTGCGTAAGTAGAAGACATATAATTTTGACTGCATCCGTTACTTAACTATTTCTTGAGTTTAAACTCAAACTTTAAAAACAAAAAACTCGATCTGCTTATCTTAATTTTCAATGTTTTAGGTACCACTTATGTGGAAAACTTAAGTTCGATGTGTTTCCACCAGGAGTTACTCAGGTAAAGTGTTTTTTTAAGGGGAGGGAGGGATTGTTTCTATGTAGCTTACTTTTCTACATGTTTAAAGTTATCATATTGTTACAATGTACTTCTTTTCCCGGAATTTCTTTTTCGTGTTTTTCAGCAATTTTCAAATAATGTCACCGACGAATCTCAAAAATTAAGCACACGACCTTTAATACCCATAAACACACGGTGCAACCAAGTGTTGTTTACTTCAATTCCTAGAACACAAGCTGCGCGGGTTATTTTCTGGTTGCAAAAATTTCTACTGTAGAACTGTTCAGTCAGTCAACCATTTCTATGCAATATGATTACTTTGATACATGAACTCTTTTGCTCCCTGAGTGAGTGTAAGGTTGCTTTTACTTCTTTAAGTCTGTGAACGAGATCCTTCAAATTCCGAAACCTCCTCGGCAGTAATTTCACATGGTACTTTTGTCTTTTATTAACATTTATAAAATGAAATTAAAAATTTTGATCCATTTAAATTGAACAACTAGGAGTTTCTTCAGGGCTAGTGGTCTCTCTTCTTTACGTTATTCAGTGGCGTGAGGAGTTTCCTTCGTGCTGCGTTGTTTCTGCCACAAGGTTTCTTTCTGCCAGTCCCTCCCCTCCCCTTCCTCTTGTTCTTTCTCCAGTATGACGGGCGCCTTTCTTGTTTCCTTTTCTGGTCGGGCCCATGGCCTGGTTGCGTCAGCCATGGGGGCGTTACTCAATCTAGAAGCTGGCTGCCAATATTGTAAGCCTCCGGATACTTCAGGCATCCAACCTCCATTTAGCGATGCAATCGCTTGTTAAATTTTGACTTCGCCTTTTGGAACTCCTTCATAGTCTAGTTAGTAGTGGATATTACTCTGTCTTTGTGTGCGTATTGACTTTGTGAAGTAATATATTAAGCATGAGACGCAGTGTTTCATCACCAGATGAAGCACTGAGAAAAGAGTTGAAAATACGACGCAGAGCGCAGTATTTTTGACGAACTTCGGGGTGTTTCATCTGGTGTTGAAACGCTGTGTTGAATGCTTGATATTACTTCTCAAACAAAATTAAGGATGTAAAAATGAGCAGTTTTTCACTTGATTTCCAAACACTCATTACACTTTAATTTCCTTTGTATTTTGTTTATGAATTATTAATGAGTTTGAGAAGCTTGTTCGCAAAGTTGTTTTCTCTTCATAAACTTATTCGAAAGTCCAATCTAACACACTGTTACGATGTACCTTTCTGTATTTTTTCGTCCTTCATGCAAGCCTATCTCTTTGCTATCAGCATACCATAATAACTTGTTTCTATTGTTTCACAGTTAAAGGGTCGCAAGATGATTCTGCAGACAGAGGGAGCATCAATAGCAACACGATCAATGTCGACTTCAGTTGATGCAAACGGTGCCTTTTGCTTTAAAGTTGCAGCGGGAGTTCATTCCATTCAGGTAGTCAAATCTTCTTGTCACCAATATTTTTATTTCCACTGCATTAATTTGAAGTTGTAAGTGATAAAGCTCGTAAAATTAGACGAAACAATAATAAAAATATATTAAATGTGCAAGTGTCTTCAGATGCAAAATGATAAACTTTTTTATAGAAGTTAAGGCTGCTCTTATTTGCAGGAACTAAATTTTGCGTTTTTTGCGACTGTTCAGCAAATCGCAAACTTTAGTTGCTGCAATAATTTTTGCTCGCGAAATTCGCCCTATATTGCAGCCAAATCTTGTAGTTGCAGTTTCCAAAAATTGCACAATTTTAGCACCGCAAGCAATAGTATCCTCACGGTACTCTCTTTTGAAACCGCTGTCCACTTTTCCTACTCTTTGCTTTATAAAGGCGAGTTGAAAGAGATAATCCATTCATATTACATCCATGTACCTGCCCAACGAAGACAAGGCATTCAATTTGAATAGTTTTTTGAGGATTAGTCAGTCGTCTATTGCAGTGTGTAAGCGCCGCGGTGCTTATTAAATCTTTCACATCTCAAATGCTGCGCTTATTTGAGGGCGGCGTTAATTTGAAGGTTGGACGCGGCAAACAATTGTTTTAACTACGTTACTATTATTTTCCGTATTAAAGGAGCGGAATTGACGTCTTTTGATTTTGATCATATCAGGGCCGCGGTGCTTATTAACTTTTTTTTTCCAAATGCAGCGCTTATTCGATCTCGGCGCTTTTTCGGCGGCGGCGCTATACGGTACATGTAAAACTTGTGCTCCGTGGCACCAGATCCAGAAAAGAAGCTAAATGAGAAAAAAAAAAAGAGTTTCTGCTTTAACGCTAATGCCAGATGACTTATAAGAGGTAAGGAAGCGAATAACACAGAAACTAACGTTGGAGTTCGAAATGGAATTCGGGTCAAAAACCCTAACTGGTCAAAATCATGATTAATTAAGGGTTAGGAGACAAAGGAAATTAAGAGTCAGAGCCAATTGTGGTTAAATTCATGGACCTGAATTTTATTTCGAACTACAACCTTTTTATTTGAGTACTTCGCTTCCACGTGTCGCAATCGTCAGAAATTACATTTTGTGTGTATGCATGTGGTTGGAATCTTTCAGCCTATAATAACATTACAAGAAGTCAATGCGGGTCTGGCGTTAACACCTAAAGAGCAAGTAGTAACAGTGACTTCCGGTCCCGTGCTTGGCATAACCTTCTCACAGTTTAGGGCTACCGTTACAGGAAGTGTCAAGTGTATTGGTAGGTTACACGTCATAACTGTTGGTTCCTCTTATACCCGCGGGGGGCCCTGCCCATTTATAGATTTGCGCCGCTGTGAAGGGTAGGGTTTTCGAGCGGCTTATCGTAGGATAGGGAAAGGAAATCAGATTATTTTGGTCGAGAATAGGTATCCTTTATAGCAAGTTGGTCTATGGTACAACACAACGTAAGAAGAGTTGCATTCTCCTGTTCACAATTAATCTGGGATAGGGTAGGGATTCTTGGTGTCTGACGTAGAATTGTGTAAGAAAATTAAACTTCGTCTGGTATAGAGGTACACTCCGTCCCAAAAATTTCGAGTTAATACCTGACGGCTTCGTTCCTTCTCTAAAACCTTATCGGATAGGCCTTCATTCTGAGATCCAGTTATGATAGCAAAAAATGATGCTGTCTATAGTAAGATAAAAACAATTGTGGATTAAAATTTGAATACTGAATTAGAACTAATGGACCTTTCTGGGTAAGCGAGCCCGGAGTACTTCCATTCCCTGGCTGAGAAAATGGCACTTGTGGTGACCAAGCAGATGGCGTAATCCTTCTCATGTCTTATTCTTATTCATGTTTTTTCGTAATGCTTTGTCATTTGCAAAGATTAATAACCGTTGTCTCCAAATTCGTCATTCTTTACGTTTGTACCGTTTTATCTAGAATTCATTTAATATTATATGGCTTATGCAACAAAGTCACGTTCACTATGCAAAACAGGTTTAGCGCTCTCTCTCTTATGTTTCTTTCTTGTTTTAGGCGGGTCGTGTGCTGGTGTCTCTGTGTCACTTCAATCAGTGTCTAATCCAAGTTTACCAAAACTAGACACCAAGGTATTGAGCTAAAATACTAATTTGTTTTACCAAAAAGATGAAACAAGAGCCCCACCCCTAACCTGAGGTCAGGCCTAGTTTTAGCGGTTCTCATACATTCTCTTTAACGGCTACCGCTAAGGAATGTTATTTACAAAGCGAAACGAAAATTGAGCCTGATCTCAGGTTACGCACCCCCCCCCCCCCGGCCCCCTCCCTCCAAAAAAATCCAAGAATTGCGATGATTGAAAGGCGATGATTGAACCAGTCGGCTACCTTCCCTTTTAAATCGTGTTGTTTCAGTTTGGTTCAAAAAATTAAATTTCTGAAATTTTTAGTCAGTTAGACCGAAACAATCTATTCAGGTATGGACTTAATTTTTGGATAATTTGAAATGGAAATCGGAATAGTCAAAATAAATGGAGTATTAAATTTCCGAGAAGACGGAAATACTGTTCACTTTCAAAAGTGGACTTTTTGAATTTCAATTTTAACTTGTCCATTTAGAAAGGACCGAAATCTTAAAGTTTGGTTAAGGGATCGCACCTTCAAAAGCGTTAATTTTTCTAAGGCCATTTTACATCCTTTTTTATTGCGAACGTTTGCCTCATAACTCATAATCGTCATTGCCATTGCATGCTTTTTTCGCAAATTTTTAGGTTTCTGGTGGTTCCTTCGTCTTCAAAGATGTTTTCCCTGGACGTTATAAAGGTACGAACTACAGCCACTGTGGGCCTCTATACCACAATGTGTTGATAAGCAACATTACTGAAAACTAGTGTGTAGTCTTTGTCATACATTCAAAATACAACCACAGAGATCTGGATAAACTTATTTACTTTTAAAGTAAGGTATTATTGGGCCACTATTGCGTTTGACGTAGGAGAACGCATTCTGATCTGTTGGTTGTACTGGGTTACTTAGCGGTGACACTGCGGTTTTCGTCGTCCTTGCTGTTCGTGTACCACTTCAGTGGCATCTTGAAGACCATATCCTAGTTTCTTTTCTTAAACGAGGGTAGGTGCGAAATCTTTGACATCAAAATTGAAAGGGTTTCTTTTCCCATTCAAATACAATTCCATCCTCGGAGACCCAGGGGAAGATAAAGGGGGCGAGGGAAAGTCTAAACGGGCGGAAAAATATATATGGAACGAAGAAAAGTAAAGAACGACGAGAAGAGCCCCTGGGTGCCAGATGGTGCCAGATAAACACAAGTTTTCTGGCACCAATCAGAAGCCAGAACGGCGGCGACCGTTTGGAACTGGTCTGGTAAGACATTGTCCCGAGGGGCTCTTCTCGCCGTTCTTTACTTTTCTTCGCCTTTTCTTCGCGCCACATTTTTCCGCCCATTTAGACTTTCCCTCGTCCCCACTATCTGCCCCTGGGTCTCCGAGGATGATACAATTCGTGTGCATATGAAAAAGTTTGCGCGCGGCCTCATGTTGAAAGTGAGGGTTTCTGGAAATTGGAAATGGCCTGTAATTACGTCGATCACAACCCAACACCTCGCGTAAAATGAATATTTGTCCTACAGGTCACTCTGTCTCCAACTCTGAATGTCCCGATCCCACGCTAAATGCTGAGCTTAGTCAGCCAGTTGCCTTTAATTAAACTCAAGGATCAACTCTGCTACGTACAGACCAAAGCATTTCATAATCATTGACTTCTAGTTCTTGATAAGAACGTTCCAACTCCGATATATAAACGAATCGATACGGCACTGAAAAAGTCATTAGTTATACGGGTCGACGCTATATGGGGGTGTTCGTTATTTTGGGGTTTGTTGTAGCGGGTTTATTTGCTGTAAAGGGGTTTGCCGTACCGAGGTGTTCGAAATTGCGGGATCTTGTTATTTAGAGGTTCGTTATATCGGTGCTCCCACTGTAATATACAAATGTTTGCAGTAAAAAAGAATTGTTTGAAGAATTTCCCCTCTACATTTTTATGTGATAAGAGGCATTCTAACAACGGCACTTTTCTTATCGCAGCAACGGTCCTGGAAGAGTCCTGGTGCTGGCAAAACGAAACTCTAGAGCTCCAAGTCTCAGAAACAGATACCAGTGATCTACAGTTCGTCCAGTCAGGATATATACTGAAATGTATCTTGTCACACAACATCACATTGGTATGTTACGCTGTATAGTTTAAAATGGCTACAAAGATTAGCTTAATGTGATGCTTGAAGCATCGCGAGACAGGAATGATATACAGTACTTTTGAAAATCCCATAAAGTCATTGTAAGAAATGAACCCGGACACAAAAATGCCGCTACTGACGTTCCCTCAATTAGTTGCGGCAGCATAACAAACATAAATTTGCTAAATTATTTAACATTCCACACCAACCCTCAACAGATCGGAGATGTGCAATGGAAGATGTGCAAAGATAACTTTTCTTTGTTTCGGTCTTAGTTCTTCTCGCAGGGATCTGGTAAGGACAACAAGGACTTCTTCGACCTTCAAAAAGGCACCAATACATTTTGTTTGAAAGAACCAGGTAAACTCGATCATAATCATTATGAAGCTATTTTGGTTTGATATCAAAGTTCAGCCAACGTGAGATGGTCACATCTAGTAACACATCCCTGAACGACTTACCTCTTCTAGTCTCCGGCAAAAGAGGACTTCCTTTATGTCAATGTTGATTTTAGCTCGCAAGGGCGTGCGAGGGACAGGCAGTACCTTCAATTCTCAGTTAATTTAAGAACCTGATGATTGGTCCGGTCGCGAGAATCGAAGCCGGGACCTCCCGCTCTGCAGGCCGAACTAATCCTGCCAGGGTCAAAAGGGGAAGGAGGCGCCCGTCTTTATTTTGCCTATGTATTTTGTCCATTGCCCTATTCAGGCTTGAAAAACAGGGGGTTGGCCTCGTCCATGGGCCAATTCGTGGGTGAATGAAAGAGGCTTGGAGCCGAGCGCACTGTAGCGCAAGTTCCAGGCGAATTCTTCCGACAAGCTTGACAGGTGACCTCACATAAGTCACACACCTTGTTGCCCCCCTCCCCCCCCCTCCCTTCCCCCTCCACCCTACCTCCGTCCCGGGTACCACACTGTCATTTTTTCAGTGCTCTGATGATAAATGCAAAAAAAAAATAGTTTGATTTGTTTTCTGACCGTGATTGGTAGGTGTATACAATCTCATGCCTCGTTCATGTCACCAGTTTGATCAAGAAGTATTTATCTACAACACGTAAGTCTTGCTTTCTGGGTTGGGGCGCGTCCATGGGCGAAGTGGGGGGTGAATAAAAGAGTGTTGCAGCAGAGCGCACTGTAGCGAAAGTGCCAGGCGAATTCTCCCGACACGCTTGGCATGTCACCTCACATAAGTCACAGACCTTGTTGCCCCCATCCCCCCCCCTCCCTTCCCCCTCCACCCTACCTCCGTCCCGGGTACCACACTGTCATTTTTTCAGTGCTCTGATGATAAATGCAAAAAAAAATAGTTTGATTTGTTTTCTGACCGTGATTGGTAGGTGTATACAATCTCATGCCTCGTTCATGTCACCAGTTTGATCAAGAAGTATTTATCTACAACACGTAAGTCTTGCTTTCTCGTTCATATCACCAGTTTGATCAAGAAGTATTTATCTACAACTCGTAGATCTTGCTTTTTTTGCACGGCCATTTAGACAACTCATCTTTGTGGATAGGTGTGATAGTTTCTCTATTCACCTTGAAAGAGGGTTTATTAAGTTAAAGTTAAGTATAATTTTCGTGTGATTCATTACCCTTTTGGGACAGAAGTGGATACGTAGCAGTTATTGGGCGAGGCTACGTAACAAAAGTCAAATCCGATAATTATTATTCATTCAAAATATTTCCTAGGTCAAGACATGCTAACCTCTAAGTGCCCGTCTTCAAAATATTGCCTTTTTCACGGAAGTTGGCTGTTTCAGGATGCGATAAACGAAAAAAGGGAAAAAAAGAAAAATTGTGATCTCCACTGTTACTTTCCTTTTTCCCGTATCAATTATCGGTACCACTACCTGTAAACGATTTTGGTTAACCAATTTTCTCTTTTTTAGCTCGGCCCCATCAGTTCTTACACTGACTGCTGTAAAACATTTGCTGTCTGGAGTTATCAAGACCCTGACTGAAACAAACGACATCACAGTTAACATCAGGTCAGATTTAAATTTACATATATTCAGTCAACTCTCACCTAGCAATTTTCGCTGGATGTTCCGCACACCCCAATAATACGGACACCAGCTATATCAACCTCGCTCCCATGGTCCTCACCTACTCTTCCCCCGTCCCCTCTCTCGCTCCGGAGGACGAGTAGAAGATGACCCTGGGAACGAAGTTGCAGCTAAATCCTTAGCAAAAGTAATTTTCAGAGGTTTGAATAACGTGAGATTGAGTGACCCGCAGCTGTACAAATTTATTGGAACCAAAGAAAGTTTTTACATATGAAGGAGGTTCAGCTCGCACAGAACTGGTTTAGAACACCAACATGGCCGCCTTTTCATTGTTTTGGAACACCAATATGGCTGCCATATCATCATAATCATAATCATAATAACGGGGGTGACAACTTTCCTCACTTGCCGCCAATGGCTGAATTGCAGAGGAACCAGAGAGGTGACATCGGACGTCAGCATGTAAAGGCGCACTATGCTGCTGCTTTAGTCCATGTTTGATATCAGCTCACCCACCCAGACCAGTAACGGCAGATACTCCCCTACTCTTTTTGAACAATATCACACGTTTCTATAACGTCTCCTTCCAACTGATATGTATGGATGAAGGAGACAAGACCAACGTCTTAACGTCACCGCCCAATGACGCGATCATCTGAACTGAGTTGATGGTCCAGGCGGGGTTTGAGCCCACGGCTTCCCGATCAGCAGACCAGCACTCTTCCAACTAAGCTAAGGGACATACAGTCCCAACACCGACGCAATCTCACGTGCTACACCAATAAGACCCTGTCGAACTGACAACGAAGATGCTAGTCAAAACCTCACCAAACTACTGACTCGTGTCCTTATTCGTTTCGCTTATTCCAACTCGTTCAGTCCTTTTTTAAAAAGTTAGGAAATTAGGTTTGAGCTGAAGGGAGAAGACTGCGCCCGAACTCAGAAAGATACAGTAGAATTGTTCGCCTTGCTGGTCACGTTCTAAAGAGAACTTAAAATTTGGTCGTTTTACGCCATACTGGTGCAGAAACGGCAAAGAAATTGGTAGAAAAGCGTGATGCTCGTGCAGATTTTTTGACCTGATATCAAACCTAGAGCTTTTTTGGCGTCTTCGTTTTCGTTGCACTTGTAGCTCCGCAAGGTCCCTAATATTGCAAGTGACGTCACGTAAAATTTTCTATTCAGTGATTGAAAATGATTAATGTGCCTTATGACGTGAATGCTTTGTTATCAACAGGTCCCTAAAGTCTAAGGAAGTGACAACTATTGGACCATTAAAATTGGAAACACAGAAACAGGAACAAGGAGGAGATCCAAGCAAAAGGAAACAGAAAGATGTGAAACAGGAGCTGCTCTACAACTTTTCACACTGGGGAAGGTAGTTATTCCATTTCATTATTAAAATTTTATTGATCTCTTTCATTGTTTATGGTTTATGATGTGTTCTTTGATTGACCACAACGCTTCATTAGTTATGGGTACAAGTGTGATGTAAAAACGTTGTATTTAAAAAAAGGAGAATGGGGAAAGAGGACACAACTCATAATTAAATAGTTAGGGCGACGTATGTCTTCGTCCTTACCAAGGGACTCCTCGGAGGCCTTTTAAACGGCTTAGTTCGTTAAACATCAAGCTAAGAGGTTCGTTTACGTGCTTAGTGGTCTAAAAAGACCCTGATGAGTGCTCTAACAGGGACGACGTGCATGTATATATTACGCTAGCCATGTTAAAAAAAACTAAGTGATTCGTATTTTTATTTTAGGCGTGGTGAGGAATTTGAAGTCACTCCTACCTCGTCTGAGCTTTTGTTTTATCCTCCAAGTAGAGTTGTAACCGTTTCCGGTAAGTGTTGAACTCTTGTGTTCATGGGCAGATACCGCTTAGTAAGGGTGGGATTGGCGCAGTAAGGAGAGCAGATTAACAAAACAAGATGCTGCCATAGCGTATACATGGGCTTCTCTTTGTGATTAGAGCCTTCGTTCAGTTTAGAGAAAATGTTTGAAGATATACGCTTAGGTGCACAGCGCTCCCCGTTCAGTACTCGACAATAAGATATAAAAAGTATTTGCACAGGAAGCCAAAGTTATAAGATGATGTTTTCTTATGTCTGTTTTTGTTGTCCTTAGATGATTGTCCAGCGGCATGGGCCGAGTTTGAAGGACGTCAGGGAGTGTTTATTGAAGGACAAGTCACCCCACCCCTGAGCGGTGTTGAAATTGTTATTTCATCAGCAGGCGATAGAGCTATGCCGAACATAAAAGTTCAAACGGATAATAAAGGAAAATATAGGTTAGTGCTTCATTTTATGTGTTTAGTAAACAAAAAATCGATATAATTTTCACACGGAAATCACCAATAATTGAGTGATAAGCTGAAAAACCTCGAAAGTTTTTCTTTCAATTCAATGCTCAAAGTTTTTATCCGTAAATTCAAGAACAAACTGCGTATTTTAGCGTCATATACAGTACCACCGGAAAGTACTGCTCAGTAGCTTTCATCTGATTGGTCACACTTAAGTATTTCACCCACAGACTCAAAAGTTAGTGCTATCTTGCACAGCATAATAAACAGAACCACAATAAAGTAGTTTTAAGTCGCTTTCATTTGAACAGTCACGCTAAAGGATTTTAGGATAAAGCACCATCAGTTGTATGATCACACTTAATAAGGGTTTGATCTGTGTAGTCAAAAATTAGAGCCAAATGTTTCATACTATGTCTCCGTAGTGTTTTCCTTACATTATTATTTATTTTATTTTATTTTATTTTTTCGCAGAGTGGGTCCCCTTCATGGTGGCATTGAATATTCTTTGGTAAGGGAATAGTTATCACTTTAATGTAAAAGTACAGTCAATTGTCGCCTTGTGAACACCTTGCTTTTATTGACCACCCCAGTAGGATGGACATGAACTAAGTAGAAGCGTTTGGCTGAAGTAAACTACTTTTATTGCCGTTTCAACGATTGGACCTTACAAAGTAGTCGCGCTCAAAATGCTAGCTGTCTTATATTTTTGTGTTGTTGTCGTTGTTAATAAATTGACGTGGTAAATTCGAATTTTTACAATACCTGAGTTATTTCTCGCGTGCTTTTTGGCGAACTTTTTTTTTTTTATCATCAATAAGAGTACTGACACGTAAAATTTGAATTTGTGCAACAAGATCATTTGTAGAATGTGAGTGCTTTTGGCTTAGTTTCGTAGATGATTCATTTTCTGACTATCGTGGGAAATAGCTAGATAGCTCTGATGCAAGACTTGCATCCTGTTTGGAATCTTTATAAAAAGCTCAAGTAGAAGAAAAAAGAGGCTTCCACGTATCTCCCGTAGCTCAATGGTATGATATCTGGTCCAGTAACCAGAAGACGACAGGTTCGACTGTTGGGAGAACTCTCATTTTTCTTTATTTATTTACTTGTTTATAATCGAGTTACTTATATCTGTGACAAAGAAGACACAATGTTTCGATTTTTTAGACCGCAAGTAAAGCAGGCTATGCTCTCAGTCCTCTGACCGAGAAAAAGGGAGATTTTCAAGCTTTAAAACTGGGAAGAATTGACATACAGGTAAGAAGAGGACCAAATGCTAGAGCACGCGACGCTAAAGAAGCTACAATCGGCGACATGATTAGTTGAGAATTTGTCGACAACGACATTTCTTACGCTTTATGAACAACACCATCTACTTCAAGGGAAAAAATAGCACTGAAGCGTTCCTTTTTCCCACTCCTCATGTACAATATTGTGCCACAGTTCAAACAAGCTTGCTTTGTTTGGGGTAAAAACATTGCTTTTTTTTCGAAATAAATCCTATTTGACCGCGACACAGTTATGTCGACGATTGTTTGTTTGTTTGTTTTGTTTTTTTGTTTTTTATCTTTATTTTTTATTTTTATTTTTGGTTTGACAAGGCAAAGTGTTTCCTGAACAAAAATTAAGCTCGCAAAGCAGACAAAGATGACAACTCAGAAATGCAAATCACGGTTCTATTTAAGATCAAGACCATTTTTTAGTTGTTGAATAATTCCTTTATTCTTATGACCTTAACATGTGATTAAGTAACATTTAATTGGATACTGGTTGCTCTCAGAGAAAGACCGCTTAATAGAGTTCATATTTACGGTTTTTAGTTAATCGGACAACGTTCGGGTACTTTTTCAATTGTACTCTTTCTTCACTTTATCCACCACAGGTTACAGATGAGAATGATCAGCCCTTACCAGCAGTCCTATTGTCTCTAAGTGCCAGTCAGTTCCGAAGTAACAATTTTTCATTGGAAAATGGCACCATGGTTTTTGCTAACTTGGTGGGTTTGTCACGCTGTATCTTGCTCAAACTGCTGCGCTTGAATGGTTCTTTCAGTTTCCGAAACGTTCTTAAATTTTGTGCATCATGTGTTGTATTTCTAGGGTCCTGGCCAGTATTTTTTCCGACCGATGCTGAAAGAGTATGTCTTCTCGCCTGCTTCACAGGTTTGTTTACTCTTTTGCCGGTGTACAATATTCATAAAAATAACATTTTTTGCAAAAGGTCTGCCAAGGAGTTTTTGTTTGAATGGTAACGAAACGGATTTAAAAGTTGGGGCTATAACTTGAACTGGGAATGAAACTGTAGAAAAGAATAGAGAGATCAAGAGTCGCGTTTACGGTAAACGGCAAACGTCAGTTTCAAGTTGAGAATTTCTCAAAATAGAAAATAAGCAGATTAAAACTGTCCAGAACAATTCTTATGCATGAAACTGACGTGAAACTACTTATTTTTGAGTAGAAGTAATAAGCAGTTAACGACAAAACGTGGTCACGTGGTACAAATTCACGTTTGCTGTGTGGCGTAAATGTGAATCTTAATCTCTCCAATAATGCTTAAAGAAATACCTGGAGCTGTGTCGACCAATTAAGCCACATTCAGTCATTAATTACTGGCTGCAAAGGGCCTAAAATATTAAAATATAAGCTTAAAACAGTGAAAGAACATTTAAATGACACAGCAAATACAGATAATTGCACGGATGGGAAACATTGAAGAAGGGTTGCAATTGTATGGGGGTTATTTTTCAGAAAGAATTATCAAAACTGTTTAGCCTATGATTTTTTCAATATCTCTCCCTCTTATTTGTTACTCGTAATTGGGTGTGGGAAACGTAACTGTTTGTTATGATCTGAAGGTGTGATTTTGTATATAGAAGTAATTTGTTTGCTCTGAACATTACGCTTTACGGCGAATGAAGGCGAGTTATTGACTTGACGTAGCTAAAACAATCGACTAGACTGCCGAGACTAAGTGCTTTAAAGTGGAAGGAGCGTCTCGGGTTTGCTGAATACTGATTGAGTATCAAGGGAACCGCATTGAGATTCATGGATGAATAATTCATTTCTTTTGTCTTATTCCCCTCTTCCCCGGAGTCAAGTGTGAATTTTATTGACCGGCCAATTTTAAGAAACATTAAACGTGTAGGCCTTTCTTATGTTTGGTTGTACTCTTCTGTTAGGTGATTGATGTGGGTGAAGGTTCTACCGTCCAGCTCCAAGTGAAAGGAAAGCGCGTCGCCTTTAGGTAAGCTTTCGGGATACGAAATAATTGTGAAAGAAAATGGGGCTGTTGAGCTGTTTCGGGCACACATATAGCCACACCCATACTCA